AGCCAGTCAGAGGCGGAGTAGGTCTTTGGCACCTCTGCACTCCTCACACCTAGCAGACACAAACACAACTGTCTTTTTGGCTTGAATGCCTGCCAGGGACGTTGCACTCCGATAACCTCAGTGGACTCGTCGGAGTCGCCAGCGGCTAAGACTATGCAAGAGAGAGGCTGAGACACGACGAGAGCGCTGCGAGTCTTCGCCGCTGCTCGTCTGGGTTGAGTTGTTGTTCTGCACTGCAGGCCAAACAGCACTGCATCCACTGGAGCACAGATGGCGTCCGGCCCTGAGAGACCGGCTCGGACAGGCGATGCAATCCTACTGAGCGTAGTCGGGAGTCTTGAACCTGGCTTGATCAACGGTATCTACCTATCTATCCATCCATCCAGTTTTGTTGTTTTGTTCTCTCTCTCTCTCTCTCTCCCTCTATATATATATATATATAGATCTCTCTCGCCCTCTATCTCTCTCTATCTATCTGTTTGTCTGCCTATCTATTTGGACTAGCTTTCTGACCTATGCGTCTGCTTTATCTATCCGATCTATCCACTTGGTCTATCACGCGATCTGACCTATCTATGATCCGTTTCTATGATCTATCTATCTGATCTATACATCTGTTTATCTTTCTGGCCTGGCCTAACTGTCAGGTCAATCTATCTGTCTATCTAACCTATCTGTTCTATTCAACCTATCTGTTGAGCCTAATCTATCTGTCTCTCTGTCTGTCTGGTTGTGTGTCTGTTTGTCTGTAGGTCTGTACATATGTCTGTTGGTTTGTCTGTTTGTCTGTCTATCTGTCTGTGTGGGACCGTCCATCTGTCTGTCTGTCGACCCGTCTCTATCTATCTGTCTATCTACCTATCTGTCTATCTATCGGTTCATCGCCTAAATATCTATCTATCTAGCTAGCTAACTAGCTAGCTGCCTGCCTGCCTGCCTGCCTGTCTGTCTATCGATGTATCTATCTATCTGTATGTGCATCCTAGATGTTTGTACAGACAACTCCAACAAAAAGCAAGCAGGTAAAGACATGTGTGTGAGTGTCCGAGTGTCTTTGTGTTTCTGTATATATATGTACACACAGACACACACACACACACACACACTCGTTTTTTATTTATTAGCCATTAATTTATTTTTCAAATTACATAGGAAGGTCGGTAGGTTTGAGGTCCTTGTAACAGTATGCAATATTCATGCGCACCTTTTGTGCATGTACACCCGTGATACTCAGAGTTATATGCGTGTGTTGTGTGCTCGTTGACATGGGCACTATACAGCTCCGTGTGTGTGTGTGTGTGTATGTGCACTATTGTGCACTGAGATATGTTGGATGGATGGGTCAGGTCATGCGACGTCTATGGCATCTGTGCCTTGTGGGACGTGGAAATGGGTTCCATGCAGCAGGCCTTGCCATGAAAGATATTGAAATGTCAGACATGGGTCGTAGTCGTGGCTGCTCAGTGTAGTGTTATGAGATGCCAGGCGAAACAAGCACTAAACATATTATAGGGGAAACAGTATTTTTTCCTTATAATATGTTTAGACCCCAGGCGAAACAAGCAGACAGCCACAAGAACAGGCCTTCGACTTGGGGCAGCCTCTGACCGACGTGGCCTTCGGGCCAAACCGGCCAGGAGCCGAGACAGTTTCCACCACAGGATGTCCGTTCTACTTGGCTGCCTCTGGTGAGTGCACATGACATAACAAGAACGAGCATACCGATGAGCAATCGCACAGTCGATGACACATGCATTTATATCGCGACGCACATAAACATATACGTGTTATATGTATACATGTGTATATATATATATATGTATATATATATATATGTATACATACATATAAGACATACGTGCATTGGCCCTGGCATGGGCATATTCACAGACAGTTGCAAGTTGCTCACAAGCTATTTAATTCTGGCTGTTGGCAATCAATCAGGCTTCTGGCTGCAACGGGCGAGAAGGGTGACTGCTTTCTCATGGACCCCAGACAATCACAGGCGCGCCGGTCCCGTTTGATTGGTGCAGCTGATTGTTTTGTAGAAGTGATTGCGAGGGTCTACGGGGCATGCGTGTTTGGGATGGTCGCTGCTTAGCAGCCGTTCTTGCTGGAGCTCATGTAATTTCTAAGCTCGCAAGAGCGGAGACAAGCTCGACGAGGATGTACCGATGCTGTAAGCAGAACACCGACCGATGCCGTTGCATCTTGATCCTGAAGCCACTGTCATTCACTGCCATCCACTGCCATTGTCGTTGCAGTCCCTGCATCGATGGACACTGGATGTTGGGATTTCCGAAGTACCGCAATCAGGGCTTGCAAGGACTACCATATGATCTTCGCAAGTCTGCTTCTGTGACACCTTGCATCGCATTGATCTCAGTTTCTTCCGCCAGGAGGTCGCAGCCTTTGCGCCCTCCGAGCACGTGGCTGGACCTGCTCGAATAGCCTGGGGGGCCAGGCACCCAGGTGACTTCTGGCAGTAGCATCCGAACTTTGAGGGTTGCTGGAGTCGCAGTGGCCATCATGCTGCTGTTTCTGGTACTTCTCTTGGCACTATGCATGGCACGGGGCCAGTAGTGTTCCTTTGACTTCAGGACAAAGTGCTGTCCAGCTTTCGTCAGACATTGGATCTGACATGTCAGAGTGGGTCGGCTCTTCATCTATAGCAGCTTTTCATGTAGCAAGCGCTGCTAATTTGGGTATTGCACAGTCATCCAGCGCATGGATGAGGATGATGAGTGTAACGATGGCCACGTTGACGGCTACTGTATGCTGCTGACGACGATAACAGTGAAGACGATGATCATGTTCCTGACAACTGACAGGCAACGTGCACAATCCTGACTTTTGTTGTGCTAATTGTTGTCAAGACTTCGAAGTACCTTTCAGCAGCAGGCAGCCAAAGTGAACTTAGATCCCACGCAGTACATGTAAACCGCTAATCAAATTAAAATTCCAATGCAAATTTGACCTCGCAGTACTATAACACAGATTGCGGAACCGAGTGCAATCGCTTCACTTCATGAAGCGCTTCTGGACATGTCGGCCATGGACCTTTTCGGCTGCGGCACCTGTTGCCCTCACGACACTTGGCTTGCCTTTGGGATAACTAGGCGGGCTGTTGTTCGACGTGTGCAGTGGTTGGGGGGGTTGGCTTAGGGATGTTCTACGTCCAGGGGTTGAATTGTTCGCCCGAAGCTCAAGCTCGGAGTTGGGCTTTGCCCAGGGCCAGTCTCGACCAGATGCCGTCCCGCTCGAGGCTAAACTTCCCAGCGTCCGAACCACTCCGTCAACCGCCTAAATCCCGAGACATCAAGCCTGGTAAACCCTAAACCCTAAACCTAAACCTAAACCCTAAAACCCTAAGCCCTAAACCCACCCTTCGCACAAGCGGCGAGGGCCCGCCGGTCATTTGCTGCCTCGACGGCCTCCAAGCGGCCGACTCGTAGCAGCAATCTGGGAATCAGGGGAATTGAGTTCAGAGACCTGTTTGAGGATACCTGTTTTGGGATGCCCTCACTGCAAGTTCAAAAGAAGGGCCCTAGCCAGGGACCGTCGCGATCATTTGCCAGGCATCCTTAATGGCAGGAGCTGCTGTTGTTAGCGTCGTTTCTTAAACCGTCAGGTGCTATGATTATGAGCATTTCTATTGCCAGTACTATTCGTGTACTATTAGTAACTATATTACCTGAACTGTCAACATCTCAGTTGTAAGATGTTTGGTCTGATTCACACCATCATTCTTGACTGTCGTCGTGACTACTGCTGATTCGCGGTTTGCAGTCGCTTGTGGGTGGTGCGGGTCGTTGTCAACTGTTGCATCTCGTGTGATGATCATGCTGCTACTGCTGTTGTTGCTGCTGTCGTGGCAGGAGCATGCTTATGACGGTGCGACTCTCTATAATCCTAGCAATCGCAGGACTGGTGGCCGTGTGTTTTGCGAATGTGCGTCCTGCCACTACTTCTAACGTTGTCCAGGATGGCTTGTCGTGTGAATTCTTCGCACGTGCTTCAGCAAACGATTGCTCCGAGGCTGCTTCCGGTTTAGAGCCAGAGAGAGCTAAGGAATGGGTTGAGCCAGGCCGCTTGGGCAGGGCTTAGCATCCAGCCATCTGTGGCTTAGGAATCTCCCCGTCCATGGTCACTCCGTCTAATCCTGCAGCCGCTGTAGCCTGAACTTCAAACTTCGTTCTGGAGAGTCGGGGGATGGCTTCAGACCCTAGCATGTCTGCGCAGGCAGTTTGCGAGTTTTGTTTTTCCGCCGTCAAAGTAGGGTTTGCCAGGTGTAATACGCGATGTGCGCCATTTCAGATCCGAGCTTCATGGCTCTCGCCTACCTTTGGCATACTCCCTCTCCGATGCCGGAAGGTCGTCAACATCTCACTGCATTGATCTTCTATTTGGGAGTTTCCGAAAATTAAGGGTACCTTATTGTAGGGTCCTTATAATAAGGATCCTACTATTTAGGGTACTATAGCAGGGTCCCCTATTTTTGGAAACCCCCATTTTCCTGAGGTGAAGTCGCTCCTAGCAGTCGCTTCCGGGAAGGGCGGTGTGGGCAAGAGCTCCGCAACTGGGCGCCACGGAGGATTAAGGTCACTCCAGTGTCAGTGTCTTCGGCCATCCGAGAGTTAAGGGCTGAGAAGTGCCTGGTATGAGCTTGGGTGAACAGGGATCAGAGTGGCAGCCGGGGCAGAATGGCTTCCCATGAGCTCGGAAGCTGTAGCCCGGGAGGCTCGTCTTCTAAAGAGCTCGAGGTTGACAAGCGTCAGCGATTGTCCCGAGACCCGAGACCACATAGCTGAGTCCACAGAAACACAGAGATTGCATCAAGTCCGCATGCCTGTTTTTGGCTGCGTTCGGCCTGCAGAGATCATGAAAACTCGGCCCCGAAATTTGCAGATCCCAAATGCTAAACCTTGCGCACCAAAGCTTCAATCCTAAGCCTAAACCCCCAGACTCTCCCCGAGGTATGTGTCAACCTGGCCTACACCATGCAGTCCTTGGGGCTCAAGGACCGATCTGTATCCATGGTATAAAGCCGAAGCAGAGTCCGAAGCAATTCAAAAAGCACGGGGCTGTGGGCTGACAAGGGGTACGGAGGGCTGAAGAAGATTAAGTGAATTCAGGCCGGTCATCCCAGGCCTCTAATTCTGCACCAAAGCCAACCAAAATTACAAGTCACGTAGTTTCCAAAATCTTCAGCACTCGCATGCACCCCCGGTCCCGAACCATCCAAACAGGTTGGGATTCTGGATGCTGATATCTACGGACCCTCACTGCCTGCAATGATCCCTCCGGATGCGATCGAGAAGGCCGAGCATGCTTATTCGGACCTACGAAAACAGGTTTTCAGGACTCGGGGTGCAGGCTGGGATCTTGGCATTGAGACCGTCCGGCACGAGGGTCAACTTCCACCGGAGGCATCAAACTTACGTATTTAGGAAGCCAAGCCGTAGAGTTCCCACTTTTGCTGACTGGACCGGTAGACCCAACTCCCCACGATACCCGAGTTGCAGGCCGTCTAGCCCACTTGGTGTCGCCTGTTCTGGTGATCTCAGACTCGGTGAACACCGACAGCATCGCAGTCCTCAAGCCCGCAACCCCAAGCCAGATCCCGAAAATCTCGTGGTGACGTGCCCAGTTTGCAGGTCTATGCCTCGGAGAGTGGGGGCTGCTCGGCTCGAAACCGCATAGTGCTGTGGCCCTTAAGACGGGCAGGGCCTGGCAAGGGTGGAGTGGGTGAAGTCCAGGTTGAAGGGATGGTCCACAGACTCGTTCATTTGGGTGATGGTGAGCGTTGATGGTGATGATGATGATAATGATGGCGCTGATGATGATGATAGCGATGGCAGCCATGGCTTCGAATTTGCATCGCTTCTACAATGTCACACTCATCATGATACTTCGGCTGCTGCAACACTGCATGTCCTCCAGCATGACAAGCCTCCGATCCTAAAACTCCTGACTTGATTGCAAAACAGTTTTCTGCACGAGTGAGGGCGTCATTGGACTCAAGAGGGTTCGGGCGTCGGACCTGCGCACAAAGCTGGGTAGCACCTTTCCAAACTGCAGCAGCAAGGCATCATCCCGCTGCAGTACGAAGGCCAGTTGCATGCAATAGGATGAGCTGAACGGTGCACTCACTGTGCGCAGAACTCCGCTCGATGAGGTCTGTTCAGAATGTACATTTCAGAAGCGGTTGCAGGAAAAACAGCAGCCATTGGCGAAACTGATCTCACAAACATGGGTTTCGATGTTGTAAAGCGCCAACAACGCACTTGCACGGGCCTCCAACCGTGCAGTGCACCATGGCATACGCGATTGCTAGATCAATACACAGCCAAAGATGCTAGAACATGCTAGCTGTACTATCGGCTTTCGAAGCAGGTGCGCCTTTGATGTCGGCTGGCTTCCTCCGGCCAGGCACAGCATCGCCTCGCAGGGTGAATCCTGTGACTAATGATGCTTGCAGCAATGTCTTGAGCAACAGCAGCTGCAGCAGGAGTAGATGCAGGAGTAGCAGTGCCGGCACAGCACTCGTCGTCGTTGTCGTGGTGGTGGTAGCGGTAGCGGTAGGGGTAGGGGTAGCGGCGGGTAGCGGTAGGGGTAGTGACAGTGGAAATGGTGGTGGTGGTACAGTAGTAGTACAGTAGTAGCAGCAGTAGCAGTAGAAGTCGTGTTCGTCATCGTTATCGTATTGCTAGCGGTAATGGGTTTAGGACTGGTATAGCTGGTAGCTGTAATGGGAGTACTGTAGGTGACAGTAGCAAACGCAGAAGAAGTAGCTGGCATCAGCCACAGAGAACTTTAAAGCCATCGTGGTGTTGAGGGTATGAGGATATTATGTATATATATATATATATGTATTATATATATATATATATATAGGTTATATAGGGCCACATGCCGGAGAGAGTTTTCCCTGCGCGCGGAGGCGACTTCGCGGCGGTGCGCGGGCCAATGGCCTCCGCCATGGTCCAGCAGATGCTGACAACAACGGAGTGGTCCCAGCGAACATTTAGGGGTTTAGGGTTTAGAGTTTAGGGTTGAGGGTTTAGTATTTAGGGTTTAGGGTTTAGTGTTTAGGGTTTAGGGTTTAGGGTTTAGGGGTTTAGGGTTAAGAGTGTGAGGATCAGAATAGATCTGACAGCCCTTTGTGCTTCTGTCCTCGGTGGTCACCAAGGCAGGCATCAGTTCGCACTTCCGGTTTGGTCATATGCACAGTTCTACTCGCACATGTGTTGTGTCCAAGAAGTCAGGAACCGTCGAACATTCAAGCATTCAGATTCAGGTCTTCTTTCTAACACACACGCACACACTCTGATGACAGTGTTGCTTCTGGCATGTTAAGCGTATTTTCCGACCTCAGGACCAGGGAAACACCGTTGTGCCAGCAAAACCTGGAGCCAAACTTCGGTGGTATTAATATTATACTGGCAACTCTGGTGCCCATTTTCTTGTGAAGCTTGTTCGTTCAGTGCGGATGCCACAGCACAGAGCCTTTCAGTTGTCGCTGTTACGCCATCGAACAGGAGCATTTGTGATCTGCAAGTCTTCGAGTTCTGTGCCCTGACAATGCAGCCGGACGGTTTCACCGAAGTCCGGCTTGATGCACCCAGACACAACGAGACTGACGGTCTTCACACACCTACCAGCAGCACCTCAAGCATCCAACTTGAAACAGAATCTATTCTCTGACCTGTAGCCCCGCAACGACCTTGGAAAATTAGGTGGGGCGACCTCGATGTACTGCTAATTGACATGCCGCCGGGCACCGGCGACATCCACCTCACCGTGGCGCAGCAGGCTGTGATGTTGAAACGTTGTTCCGCGGGTTGTTTCGTGTTGTTCAGGGTCTAACTAAACTCGCCAGTATTTGCGTTTGGCAGGTGCAGGCTTAGCGTTGCCATCCGCCCACACCGCTTCAAGAATACGCAGTATGCGTCATGTTGACGAAGGTTTTCTGCGTCGCAAGACTCGATGTGACACTAAGCGAACAACAATCGCTGACATTTCCTTTGCCAAAAACTCGAAGAGTTGAATCTGCAGGCATCCAAACCTTCATGGCCTGTCCTTGACAGGCCAAGGTTGATGCGGCAATTGTCGTGACTACGCCGCAAGTGCTTAGCCTCGTCGATGTGGAGAAGGGCATCCGCGACTTGGCTGGCTGGGGTTTGTCAGTTTGGAACCTCAGGTCGGGTCCTGGGTCGAGGCACGGCACGACATTGCTATGCATGCAGTTCTACATGGGCAACTGCACAGAAGATGGGCTGTTGATGATTTGATGTCTCGGTCGAAATTTAAGTCCCGAGTTTAAGGTAACCCTATGCCCTACGCAATGAGGCTTGAAACTTCGAGTCTTAGAGTCCTCGTAAGGTGTTAGAAACGGTTTACTATGATTTCTAGGTTGCCCCATAGATATGCACTTGCGCCTCATTATCTGTGTCCATGTGCTTCTTCGCTGGTTTCGATTCCTTGGTTCTGTGTTTGTCTGTCTGCATGTCAGACAGATGTGTTGCATAAGCTACGCTTGCTGGGGTTGCAGTTGCAGACTCTTAATGTTGGCCTGGCAGAAGTCATCGGAGACCTTGGCACAGACACCGAAGGCGGAACGAGACAAGGAGGTTGTACACTTGGCCGCTTGTCCGCTCTTTTTTCTTAGCTGAGGCATGTTCGATCAGGCCAGCTCTGGTCAGTTCCATCGCTGCAGCCTGCTGAAGCCTGGTTACAAGGCACATCTTGAACAGTACGTTCATGGGCAGGTCAAGATCCCCACCGTTGCCATCGTCGAGAACATGTCCTTCTTCGTTTGCAACAGCTGTGGTGCGCAGCATGAGGTGTTCCAGCGCGGTGCTGGTGAGCCTTGGCTATTGGGCTTTGAACTAAAATCCTGGTCGTAGGGGTGTTTTTCGTTTTCACATGCAGGAGTCCGCAGCCCTGCTTGGTTCAAAAATCTTCGGTGTAAAGCTTTTCGGAGGGGTGATCCGCGAGGTGTTCCTCTGCAGCTATGCCAATGGAATGGCCGAAATCCAAAACTGCTGAGAGGTCGCTTCACTGAAAACGGTAGACTGCATCTGCAAGGAAAAGCTGGCGCAAGATTTCGGGATCCAGCGCGTGTTCCGATTTCCTCTGGACTCTGCGCTGTCGCGACCAGGACGTGCAAGCTTCGCTGAATCAGAACACATTGTCCTGTCCGTTCCCGCAATTGCGCGCATTTTCTTCATGTGCTCTGTGAATGCGTATATAGTTCGTCCCACCAAGCTTATGCTCAGATCATTTCCAGGACCTGGTCAGGCAGTTGATTACCGACACGAGTTTATGACATAAACACACTTGTGGCTGCATGATAATGTATACCCCATGGCCAGCATCAAGTTACGATCCTATTCTTGTCGATGCTGGTGGTGGCGCCAGGGGGGATCAGCGAGGTGCCTTACCCTGGGTTGGATCTTGCAATGGCTCGGCATGCTGTGCGTTTCATGGAATCTCTGTCGCTGGAGGACTTCCCTACGTTCTGGCTACATCTGAAGGTGGGAGCATGGACGAGTTGCTTGGATGGTCCATAGAACGGTGGCGAAGTACTTGCGAGGGCACCATGAGATGAAGCCGAAACACGTACCCGTGCTACTTCACAAGTCTCAAGAAGGGACCATCCTCCCAAAAAATATCCCATAAGATATACGTCCCAGAGATGGTTGTCTGCACTTCAACTGAGATTCCGGCGCTTGGCTGCCGGGGCCATGGCAGCTCTGGAGGAGCTCCGAACACGCTTCCAACCAGGTCTTCGCCTCGAAGTCAACGGCGCCCTTCTGATCCTGAAGACCTCAGAGAACCAGGATCCCTTGAGGGCTTTGGGCTTAGGGCTTAGGGGTTTCAGGGATCCGGGTGGCTAGGGTCCGTCTTTGGATCCTGCACAGCTTGGCTATGTTGCGGTTCATGGAGCTTCCCCTTGAAGAAGGAGATGGCCATTCCTGCACGGGAGGTGCTTCTGGAGTGCCGGTCGGCCAAGATGCGGGACGAGTTCACCGGAAAGCGACTTTTCCGGGAGGAGGACATACCACAGAATGTCGTTGCAACCAAAGTGAGCACTGCCGGCCGGTATGCTGTGAATATCGATTGGTCCAACAGCCACAAGTCGCTGTTCTCTTATGACCTATTGGCGCAAGTCGCCGAGGCTTCTGGTCAAGTTTGGCATGCGGCCACTGCTTCCGAGTGACCGAAAAAACTGTGGCTTTGGGGCCTCCAAGGTGTTCCCGTGATTCCATCGCTACTTCGACGTAGGCTTCGGCACCACCCCACATTCCTTGCCGCCTTGGACCTAGGACCTAGGAGGGGTCAATGCTGGGCACTCTGGCAACAAAGGCCCACCGGCCGGACATGCTGGCCGTGTCCTGGCAAGGGGAGGCCGAACGGTTTCTTCAGCACCGGTTCGGGATTTCGTTGGTGGTTTGCTCGCGGTTGGACTCAGTGAATCTTCGGTCACTGCCACCGGGCGTTCTTAAAGATCGTGCCGCGAGTCCGGGTGTAAGGCATCTGAATCTGGAGCCCTGCACGGGGTAAGAAAGCGGCGAGTCGTTTCCCTTGTCTCCACACTCCACAAGACCCAGTCCCTAAATCCCAACCCCGTAGACCTGAACCGTCCCACACCCTTTTCAACTCGTCCGTGGGTGGGCGGATTCCTGGAACAGAATTCATCTCAAAGCTGCGAGTAACGCACCGGACGGTGCCAGGGTGGCCTGACGCTCTACGATGTGGCACGGCAGCGGAAGGCTTGAACTTTGCGTGCGTAGAGGTACTAGAAACTAAATTGTTCAGTGTCAGGAATATAGGAAAGTCAAGTTTCTTCTTGGCTCTTGTGAATCCCCATTATACTGCATTGGGAACGGCGACGCCTTGAACTGGGGCTGGGACGTTTTGTGGCTTCGAAGACGGAGCTTCATCGGCCTCAATCCCAGTGAAGATGTCGGCTTATTCAGATGCAACAGATTTTCGGTGGTGCTTCGGAGACGGGCTCGCTAAGAAGTACCAGCTCAAACTAGACCCACTTGCAAAGCGCGTTTGCATAGTAGTGTGGCTGAAGACTGAACACGGACATAGTGCATGCTACGTAGACATAGTCGGCCGTAAGATGTCTCAAAGGATCTACTATAATGTACTAGGAGTTGCTAGAATGTACCGTCATATCCGATTATATGTACCAAATTTTGCCACAATGTACTATGAACAAAGCTATACTATACCGACTATCATATATGCCATAGTCTAATATATCATAGCGCGACGGGAGGCAGCGCCTCGTTGCATCAAGTCGCCGCAGCCCTCCACCATCGCCAGCCTTCAGTGGAGCTATGCTTTCCCAGAGTACCGGCCTCAACAGACCTCGAGCCTTCACAAGGCTATACAACAGATAGATAGATAGATAGATAGATAGATAGATAGACAGATAGGGAATTAGATAGCTAGATAGATAGATAGCTAGATAGATAGATAGATAGATAGATAGGCTGATTCCGTTCTGGTGCCGCCAACTTAGTCTGAAAAATGGGCTCTGAACCCACGCCTGCCAGCAAAGTCAAGACAGTGCGGGGTGTTGGGGAATCCAGGGTAATATCGAAGGAAAAAAGGCTCTCTGAACCCATGCCTGCCAGCAACAGTCAAGACAGTGCATACATGCCTCTACGAATGACACTCAGGAGCCATGTAGAGAAAACATGCGACGCCCTAAGCTTCACGGCTAGATGGTTCCTGAAAGTCATTCTCACGGGCGTGGGGTGAGAGCTCATTCCACATAATCCTGCTTCCGAAAACCCTTGCGGTAACTTGTCAACATGTGACCAGCTAAATAAGATAGATAGGTAGACAGGTAGATAGAGAGACAGATAGATTGATGGATGGATAGATAGATTGATAGATAGAGAGATAGAGAGATAGGGAGATAGAGAGATAGCGAGATAGATAGATAGATAGATAGATAGATAGATAGATAGATCTACATAATAACAATAGCTAGTATTGGCCTTCGCATTGCTATGTTTATTAATGTTATTGTTTTTTATTATTGTAATTTTGTGGGGGAGCAATACAGGTCTGACACCGATAGCCCGAGGTTTTCCAGGCTTGGCCACCTTGCTGGTTCCATCAGGTTCCTTGCGACAGGAAGTCTCATGCCAGGCTGCCCAGAAAGGAAGGTTGAGATGGCCCGGGATCTTATATTCAAAACCCGTGCCCTAAACCCGAAACCCTAAGTATATACCATGGCCGAAGAGTGTCCATGAGTGTCCCTTCAAGGCTTCTCGCCTGCGGCCGAGAGGATGGCGATGTGGAGGACAGTTTTTCCTCCTCTCTACAGGGAAACCCTTTTAGTCGTAGGTCAGAATGGAGAATCTACGGATACCTGTGGTTCGGAAGTCTCGATGGATTTTGGTGGCCTGTGGAAGCCACAGAGCAGCTCTCATCTCTCCTGTCTCGGTGACGCTGCACAAGTTAGCATGTGAGATTATGTGGGCAGGCCACTCTTCTCAATGTACCTTAAAACCTTATCAGATGGACCAGGAAGGGTATCAAAAGAAAGAACCAGATGCTTGCTTGAGCACTGCCGCTGTTTGAGCACCACCCCTGCACCTGCCGGGCTTCTCGCACTGGGGTAGGATGAAGAGCAGCTATGCAAGACTGGACATGCAGGTGTGGCATTTCCCTGAAGAGGGGGTGGAGATGGCAGCGGCGGCCGAGGCCTTAAGAAGGGCCTTGTGAAACTTAACGGCCATGCTGACAAAATTTCAATCCTTCAGTCCGACAAGAAGATCGAGTCTTGGGAAGACCCGAGCCTCCAGAGCCACTTTCGTGTGGCACAAATTCTGACAGCATGGCAAGCGGAGAACCAGTTGACAGCTGACAGCGTGTTACAGACAGCTCTGATGGCGTTCTTTTCCTAGGCCTCAGCTCCTGCCTACACCTGGGCTCCTCGGGGTAGGGCTGCCAACTGCAGTGCGCTGGCGATGAGCCCGGAGGCTGCGTCACGACGGACGGGGTTTAGGGTTTAGGGTTTAAGGTTTGGGCTCCGATTTTAATGGCTCCAATTACCTTCGACAGGCTTCCGTGGGAGACATGCTTGGGCAGGGTTGATCGAACTCTCTACGCGGAAAGCAGTCCATATGCCTTAAGGGACACGGTTTTCCAGCTCAGACACCTTGAACACCAACTTTGCTCCGTCAGAAAGATGATGAGAGCCCTTCGAATCTGCAAGTCTCAACCTCCAAGCTTTTGAGGAAGCTTGGACGACAAATCTCACTTGGCAAGATCCTGAACTGCGAAATCCTGAATCCCAACCAATACTGTAGTGCTGAAGACAGCGCAAGAAACATGACCTAAAGTATCGGAGGGAAATCGTCTTAAACCCGAACTCCCTACACGCTGTAGACCATTCATCGGAAATCCCAAAGCTGTAGCAGGTTCGGCCGGGCAGTCACGCCCTGGTGTTGGCCACGATGCCGCCAGGGCAACCGGGGCCACAGGGTCAGGAGGCCGTGGCTGTGAGTTTTGGCATGTTGAGCTCTGACTTCCATTCCCGCTGCTGCCAAAGCTGCTGCGGCCGCCACCACCACCACCACGACGACGACCACCACCACCACCACGACGACGACGACTACTACTACTACTGCCACCACTACCGCTACCGCTACCACCACGACGACGACGACGACGACTACTACTACTACTGCCACCACTACCGCTACCGCTACCACGACGACGACGACGACGACGACTACTACTACTACTAGTACAACTACTAGTACTACTATTACTACTGTGACTGGTACTACTACTGGTACTGCTACTGCTACTGCATCTGCATCTGCATCTGCATCTGCATCTGCATCTGCTACTGCTACTGCTACTGCTACTGCTACTACGCAGTACTGGTGCCACCTCTTACAGGCATTAGTACTAGTGGTGGCAGCAGCTGCGGGAGATGTGGCTGTTTCATTCTGACGACCAAGAAAGGGCTCTGGAGAGTAGTCATCGCCAGTGACACATCAGACTTCGTCTACACTTCATAGGGCAGCAGGTAGGGGGCTGCACGCTTCACGAATCGATCTGATAAAGTAACACCGTTCACTTACATGCTGGTGGGGTTGTGATTCGTGACGTCCAACACAATCCTGCGGCAGCAAGGCTCTTACCTTGAATCTATGGGCACGACACACCTCCATAAAACCACGACACACCTCCATAAATCCAGCGTGGCGGCTGGCAGACAGATTGTGAACACGACAGTTTTTTGCAACGTTTATGCACCGCAACGTTCGCTCGTGCTAGTTTCTACTCCTACATGCCCTGGTCGTTTCGATGCCCAAGCCCCCTTCAAGTCTAGATGCCAGAGACCCGCCACAACCATCCCGTCGCACACACTACTCCGGCAGCTCCGACACCCCACACCCTATACCCCGCAAACCTGGGTCTTCACCAAAGAACGCCCAAAAGACCTTAAAGTCTGAGGTTTATCTGGTTCAGCCCTCCGAACTTCACTTGCAAGGCGACCACCTCCGGCGGTTCCCTTTGGGTCGTGGCACTGCCTCAGCCGACCCGGCGGCCGGCGCGCCTGAGCCCAGGTCAGAGATCTGACCTGACGAAACGGTAAAGGGCCGGTTTGTATTTGTATGGTGCTCTACTCTTCAAGTTGGCCTTGAATCCCCCGAAGAAAAAAGCGCTTCAGCACCAGTGCCGAGCAGCAAGTCTCATTGTTTCGAGCTCGGCATATAGTTGCCTGCCCAACGACACAGACTCGACGGCCTGTCTAAGTCTTTCCATGCCGGGCCCACATCTCTTCAAGCAACAATCCTTGATAGTAACCTACTCTCATGGAGCCTTCTAGTACTAAGTCATGGTGACCCTTAATATGGTAGCCCAAACTTCACAGTACCTTGCCAGGCGATCTCCTGCAGCCTGGGCCAAGCATGGCAAAGGCCGGCATCATGCAGGGAGCACTTTGAGGTGAGAGCTTCTTCGGATAAGATAAGGGGCCGGAAGAATTGCAGATAATATTCCTTTGGGTCCCTAGTTCTGAAGGCCCCTTTGTTAGGTGGACAATGGTGGAAACGCTCTAATGTTTCCGTGGTGTCACTCACGGTCGGCAGTAGTGATCTTCCCTTCACTTCCAATCCACGCCCTAAGTCGCTTCGCACGTATTGCCTGAGCGCAAAGCTTTTGCTCAGATTGCAATCGGACTCTTCGCTTATTGGTGCTTCTTGAACTCCAACATGTGGCGCAACTTTTCTTCCGGCAGTTCTTGCAGCACCAAGAAACGATAATCCGAGGTTCATCATTCGTTATAGGTCATTCCTCCATCTGGTGGAGCTCTGTACTCTTAACATCTTTTGTCGACCGTGCGAAATGTCCCGAAAGAAACCCCAAACCTTTGACTTAGACGTGTAAACCCTCAATCCTTACCTTCCTGAACCCAAGTGCTACAATAACCTGGTTCCTCGCTGCCCTCGCTGCTGACCTTTTCGGCTCCACAGAACCAGTGCTCAGCCCTGCTTTTGGCATTTGAGAAAAGAAAGAGATTGTCGTGTTGCCCCGCTTTGAAGGCGGGGACCTCAGAAAGCTCGCAGGAGAACCCTCGACCGGGAACCTGGAGTCGAGGAAGTTAGCATTGGGCTGTGAAACAAAAACCGGATGACGCATTCCCTAGCGCCTCAGAGCTCATTCTCCCGATGGTTTACCTATAAGGCCTCATATTCCACCCAGGCCTGAAGGTAGAGACATCTGAGAGCATTAGATCTGAGATTGCTTAAACATCATGCAATCAGCACATCTACCCACGCATATATATATATATACACACACACGCGCACAGATACATACATACACATAAACACATCTATGTCTATACCTATATATATATATACATATACATATGCATACATACATACACACACATATTCGTGCATGCATCGTACACTCATACATAGACATAGACATGTGCAAATTGTGTCTTATATTGTTCAGGAAGAGCGTGCAGTGGAATATAGGATCGCAAGCTGCATGCATGATAGTAGGAATTCCAGCACACCGTAGCGGGAGTTTCATGTGCTTGAGACCTACAGGGCACACCTTCCAAGGGATGAGAGCCTCCACTCTCACTCCGAAGCCTCAGCCTCACAACGCGACGCGCGACGCAAGTGAAAGATGCATTTGAAAGGAAGCGGACTAGTTTAGATTGAGGAGCTTGTCCTCAAGCCTAGGAGTCGACATTGTCTGGAGCATGGACCATCTTAAGTCTGGAGACCCAACCATCAGACACACCCTTGGTAAAAACAAGCCTCTGGGTAGTTCTCTAAAGTAAGGTTCCCTTTTGGGTTCCTGTTTATGAGGGTGCCATACTACATTGGAGCCCTAAAAAAAGGGACCCAAATTTAGAAAACTACCCATGTTACGAATTTAGTAGAGACCTTCTGCGGTTTTTTCCCAGCCGCTACCAAAGGTCCGTGGGCACGCAGACTTAGACCAAGACCATGGCCAGCTCGAGGACTAACCGATGTGCGCCGCTGGTACTTGGGGCTTCGGGTCTATTCTGGGGGTTTTAAGATTTAGGGCTTAGGGTTTATGGGGTTTTGAAATTTGGGGCTTCGGGTTTGGTGGGTTTTAAAACTGAGGGCTTAGGGTTTATGGGGTTTTAAAATTTAGGGCTTTAGGGTTTATGGGGTTTTAAAAATTTAGGAGGACTTGCTTTCTTGCAAAGGGTTTGTAGGGAGGCCCGAAAGCTCTTGAACACTAAGCCGAAGCCTATGATTGAAAGCGGAAATCTTTCGGGATCCGCAATCCCTAAGCCTGAAACCTCACCAGTTGAAAATCACAAAGTCAACGTCGTGAACGATCTGTTGGGGTTCCGTTTGTTCGTCAGGGTACAAGCCTGTATGCCTTCTGTGACTGTTTCTGTCCAGTGAGAACTGATGCCAGTCGAGGTTAGTGGGTGAGGTGGGTGCTCTGCCTGCCGACTTGCAACCGTGCAGCACTGGGGCCATGAAAAGTGAATTCTTGAACTCGAAGTTCTGTTCGTGGGCTCCGTTGTGTAAGGTTCGACGTCTTCGCTTGACTCATTGGCTTCGGCTCAGCCTCTGTCGAAGTTGCACGTGGTTGCCTGAACCAGCAGAAACTGCTTCATGCAGGCCTCTGAAGCCCCATATCGGCGGTCCTCCAAGAACAGCCGTGTTAAATTCTTCAACCCTCGAGGTATCGCTGCTCGACCCTTCGTTTCCATACTCTGCATTTCCATCTTCAGCCATGAAAGCTGCAAGCAATCCTTTCCACGGCCCTTGGGGCAACTCTCAGACTGATCGTCCTCCAGGGAGGGCTTTCCATGGGATTGCAAAGCCATGAGCGCGACGATGTGGGAACGCCTCGTGGCGGACGAGGCCTGCGACTTTGCCGTACCACAGCTTAAGAATAATTGTAGCAGTAGCGTTAGCTAAAGCAAGTGTAGCAATTGTAAACAAAAGTCCCAGTCTTTGTGGCCATAATCGGAACCCTTGTCGTGACAAATAGGGGGAAAAGCAGCACATCACACTAATCACCGCAACTGTTGCATCGTGAATGTTGCTGCTGTCGTTGTCATGATTATCGTCCTGACGTGAATATCCACATTGCTATTGTCGTGATAGGGTCCAAGCTGGGTGAGGAGAAGCGTAGATAGGTTCGATCAGGTTATGGGCGGGCAGGTTTAGGATGCACGGTCTATACTAGACCGTAAACCCTAAAACCAAAGGGTCCACCACCTTGCTTGGAACTTGCATCACAGAAACAAGCAGAATGTTGACTGCGCTGGGTCGTTCCGGACAGGCCTAAACCCTAAAGCCGCAAGATATATCGGAGAGGTGAGCTTGAGATTATCGACGAAGATGGAAAGTAGTAACTACAGTACTGGTGGCAAGTGTTTCCAATACCCAGAACAAAAGGGCCTGAGTATCCCTTACTATTTTCTTAACCTCCCTAAAGTACCATAGTCCACAGATGAACGAATTTGAAAGCAGCCCAGACCTCAGCCGGGGAGGTGCGGCTGCTGGATTCACATGGAAAAGACGCCGAAGGTCTCGACCCCGGGAGTCTTCAGCGTGGTTTGAGACGCTTCATTCGGGGGTTTGGGGCTGTCGTCTTATACGAATACCGGGATCCTTCCGAGTTTCTGCGAGATGTTTACGGGCCTTCCGTAATCCTGCTTTCTCACTTGGAAGGGAATGATAAACGGCTGACATTTGCGTCGCTTTAGGGCGCTGTCTGTCCGTCGACGGCTGCAAACTCAAGCTGGAGAGTCGGAGCCAGGCTTTGTCTCTTCCTCGCAGGTCCGACCTCTCCGGAGGAAGCTGCCGCAGACCCCTCAGGCATCCAGGGGACTCTGCCCATATCTAGTTCTCATATCTAGACCTGTTGAGAAGGATGGAACGCAGTTTAGCTCAGTCCTTGCTGTTAGCCGGTTTGGTCCGGATGCAGAGAGCCCACAACTAAGCCAGAGCACCGACAGGCGCAAAGCAAAGTGCGGCTCCTTCAGCTGCCGAGGACAAGACGGGTGCCGACGGTGCCATGGCGAGCATGGTTCTTCAGATGATGGATCCGATGACGAGGTTTCCACGGAAGATGATGAAACGAGGCGGGGATATAGTCCTCGTCGTCGTCGTCGTTCTCAGTGGTGATGGTGGCAAGTTTTGGTGATGTGTGGTGAGCAATGGTGGTGACGGTGACTGTGGTGGCGTTGGTGGACGCCGTTCTTGTAGCAGAGTCCCGATATTACCCCTGCATGTCCTCAGACCACAGCACCGAAACGGATCAGATCAGGAAAGGGTTTCCGAGCGATCCTGGACCTGGAGTGCCTGAAGCAGCCGCCAGAAGCCCGGCATCTTCTTCGGACCTTCCCTGTAGCAGGCTTGTAGGCACAAAGTGAGATGGGAGTGCTGCGCTTCGCGTGCACAAGCCTTCAAAGCAGAATCATGAACCGTCTGAGCGCCGTGTCGATCAAGCTCTCCTCCGCCAAAGCCGAATCTGAACCTGTCGACACAACCATTCCTCCCATGTCGAAGAGGGGGACCCGTGCTGGGCAAGCCAGAGGGTTGATATAGTTCTGCCCAGTTGCAACCAAGGTTCCTCGGCATCCGCCACTACCCGGCTGGGGGATACTGGTCCTGCACTAGAATGAATTCTGTTTGGCACGAGGCTCTGCCTTATGTGTGCATACATCTATATCTATATATATATATATATGTATGTATATATATATATATATGTATGTGTATATGTATATATATATATATATGTATATATATATATTTGGAGATGTCAATGTATGAGTACTAAAAGTGCTAGCTACTAGACACACATACAAGACCCTCCCCGCCTACTCAGGATATGAGTTTCGAAATGGTCACTCCACGAAGTTTCCCAGCATCCCTGTAGAAGAGGGCGAGACCGACATCGAAGCAGCGTACCGAGTGGCCTCAGAGCGGCGCACTGCTGGCCGTGAGGCCTTCGGGGATGGGACCAGCGTGGTCTCTGCCCAGGCAGCTGTGGACTATTGGGGCCAGGGAATTCTGGCCCTCCACCGCCTCCGGAATCTAAACAAGAGGCTCAGTAGCTGAGTGGATACACTTTACACTTTTGGGGATATATTACCTACTATAAAAAACTGAACACTTTACTGGGCTTATGAACTCAGCATCTAAGGAGGGCTTGTGCTGAGGGCGCTTCAACCCCGTTGGAGTCTCCGTCGGCGGAGGATGTCAACGAGTTAGACCTGGTGCTGAGGCTAAACATCGCCCAAGCACTGCTGAAACTCAAGCAGTATGAATGTGCCGTGAGTCACTGTGATGCTGCCTTGGCACCTTGGCCGCCAGGAGCATTCTGACATCCATATGAATATGCTGAGCCCTTTACATCGCCGCACTCAGCCTACCATACGCACTGAAGCCAGTTATCTGGGGAGCATGCTCTAAATTCCACCTCCGTCAGCCCGCCAGTGAGCCACCTTAAACCTGAACCCGACGGCCATGACAAGCCTACACAACCCTAAAGCCCCCAAAGCATCTGAGCCCTACACCCCGAGCACACTAAGGAGATCAATCCCCGCAACGTCAAAGCCCTCTGGCGGAAAGCTAAAGCTGTGTGGGGTCTCCGCTGCCCTGGCGAGGCTTTGCAGGCGCTTGAGGAGAGTCGCGGGTCTAGGGCCTATAGGGTTTAAAGTGGGGAGGACGATATTACACTTTCTTCTGTTGTTCGCCTTATTCTCAACTCTCCAGGTAGGGATTTCAGGAGCAGTCCTAGTCTTGCAGACCGTAGAGGGTCGAACAGCTCAAGTTCAGGCTGCCGTCGCACTGGTACAGGAACGCTTTCGGGTGAAGACTTCTTCAGATCTTCATCGTTTTGTGTTCGAGTTCATGTTCGTGGAGCTGGGTTTCCTGGTGTAACAGCTGTGCTTTGGGAGACTTGGCGAGTTTCACATTCAAGTCCTCTGCAAAGCCTGGCGACGAAGGCCAGCTGCACTCAAGTCGGGGGAGGCACCGCAGGATCCTTACTGTAGGGGCCTTACTAATTACCTATACTCTTTTGGGGGTTCCTTATTATAATTGAAAGTATAATACCAAAACCCTATTAAAAAATATTGAGGCCCCTAGAATACGCTCAGCCGAAAGACTGCGTCGTGACACATCTGCAGCAGTAACCGCGTGCCCCCAGCCCGACCCCGATGTTGAATCCTAGCAGGGAGCGACTCAAGTAATACATAGGAGCCTCAAGAATTGCCAATACTATTTTGGGGCTCCTTGTTACTACAATGATAGTATATAATATACTAGTCTAGTTACTGTATAGGGCCCTTAACTAGTCTAATTATATAAAAGGGCACCCCTATATTATCCCACTGGGCCTTTACATACGGCTGCTCTCAGCATCTTTTCGCAGGACTTCCTCAGTGTGGACCCCGGGAATCCGGCCGCCCGGGCCATGCTCAAAGAGATTGAGACCGAAGAGCAAAAGCGGAAGGCAGATCGGACAGAAGGGCAAAATAGGGTTTAGGGGTTTAGGGTTTAGGGTTAAAAACTCTTGAAGCAGCATAGATTAGACTAGATTTTGGAATAAACTCTAGCATACTAGAGTGTACAGGAGAAGCCAGAAAGTCGGAACTTTGACTATGACCTCAAACGTAAAGCTTAAGGATTCCTACCCTAGCACTAATCATCCCTAAAACATGTTCCAACTTTCTGGGGTTCACTTTAGTATAGCACAGTATATTGTAGTATAATACAGCATAGTATAGTATAACACAATATAGTGCATTATGATGTAGCACAATACAGTATAACATATATGTGCAGAATGAGTGGTGCTAAGCCAAGCATGCACCCAACACAGATTTAAGGCGTCTGAGCTTTCCGAGATTTCGGATAGGACCTGGTGGGTTTCAGCCTGCCAGGATACTTGGCACCGTAGCCTCGGAAACACGTTTGCCGCAACAAGAGAAGCTGCAAGCTGTGCCTGCAGCACACGAGCTGCCACAGATGCCATAGATGCCACGGTTTGGGCAGAGAGTCTTGCAGCTCAAATCCGAAACTGCAACGCTTCCGTGTGCAACAGTCTCCATGCATACTCCATCCGCGGCTCTACCTGTGACTCTTGCGCTTGTCTGAGACAGTAGCCAGTACTTTGCGCAGCATGTTCAGCTAGGGATGAACCCCACGACCTCACTGCACCTGACGAGACGTGCAGGCAAAGCGTGTGGGTCCTGGAGCTGCGCTCCGAACTGCCCCACGACCTTCCCAAGCTCCAGCTGCAAACGATGCCGCTGAAGCTACGGGCGCCTCTAGAGCCGCAGAGCCGAGTGAGACGGCGAAGGCCGTTTGGGACTTTCGAGGGCTTTTATTCAGATTGGCAGAAAGTCCTCTTAGGCTGTCTGAAACACATATCTACACAGACGTACATGCACGTGCCAGCATCAATGCTGATACATTTACGTATGGGCACACACACTCACGTACATCACAGCTTGCATGATTTCCTCTAGCTCTGTTTAGCACTGTGCAGGTGCATATGCACATTCACACGGATCAGCAAGAGCCATGTAGAGAGAGGGAGACATGTAGCACGCATCAAAATATGGCATAACTCTGTTCGTCCTGCGCTGCACCCCTCGAAAACATGCTGCAGGCACCGATGTGGAGCTGCTGCCGGAGGAAGCCAAAAGCTACATAGACCCGCCATGCCCAAAGTGGCTGCCGAAAAAGGTGGAGTTCTCAAAAGGCTACCCCGGGCTACCCCTGACCCTCAGGGAGGTAGGACAGCACCTGGTGTGCAACCTCTGGCTGTTCCAAGCACAGACCCGAAAAGAAGCAGACCTGTTAGTACAACTTACTTGGAATGCTTGAAGACAAGGTCCAGGTACTGGGCCTCCAAGCTATCACCTCCGACTGAGCCTTAGCAACAAATCGTACAGCCCTTATATTATATCAGCCTCGACCCTGTTCTGCAGATCCAAATAGCCCTAAACCTTAGAGCCGTAAAGCCATCAGAATCCTAAACTTCAGACTCAAAGAAAGCAAAGAGCCCAAAACTTCTGAAACCCCAAACCCTAAGCTTCCCGAGCACGGAAGCTTCCTTCGAGATCCCTTTCCAGGTATTGCCCACGGCTGTGGATCGAAGGCTGCACGCAAGGCTCAGAAGGCGATCCCGGGATCTTTTCAGGTGTTGTTCGTTGGTGTGCTTTTGAGTCTTGAGGGACAGGGTAGGTGCATCAAAAACATTCAGAGGAATAAACAAATGAACAACAGCTATGTATTTATACATACGCGCGTATGCATGTATGTAAGTAAGTATGTATGTATGTATGTATGTATGTACGTATGTGCATATACAGGTATATGTCTATGTACATGTAATATGTAATATGTAACATGTAACATCTGTATGTATATGTATATGTATATGTCAGAGTGTATATATATATATATTTAGGGAGAGAGGGTGTGTGTGTGTGTGTGCACATGCGTTTTTGTATGTGTATACATACATACGACATTATTATACATATATATATATAGTATATAAATATAAATATATATATATATATATATATAGCCGGCGGCTGAGGTTTCATTGAGGTGTTTGAGGTTTGTGCAAACGGCTTAGACTTGAGGTTTACGTTAGTCATGACTGCGTGCTTTCAACAATTTTGAGTCTGGGCTGCAGGGGTGTGGCCCAAAGCGACGGTCTGCTTTTAGGGTTTAGAGTTTAGGGTTCGTGGTGTGCAAAATGCATGATGATGATCCTTCTTCTGCCATGTCGGCATCCTCTCTTTCCAAACCCAGGGACAGGCTCGCAACATTCGCTTCCTCGAACTCCATCCATGACATGCTGTTGGAACGGATACCCTGACCCCTGAACCCGACCTGAACTGCAGCGTTTGCTGCCCTACGTCAGCTCTTCTATGGGCAACACAGGCCTCCCAACAAGGACTCAGATTCGGTTCTTCTGGGAGTTCGTAGATATCCTCCAGGCAGCTCAGTGAAACGCAAGGAAGCAAACTGAACCTCCCGGCTCACTCACAAGGCCCGCCGCCGCCCTCAGAAGCGGCGCGTAAGTCGGGGCTCCACGCCCTCCTCCCCCGAGACCAGGGCAGGCCGGCGTGGGGCGGCTCAGGTCACGGTATAACGGGGCACAGTAGGGTACAGGCTGCTGTTTCAGTCGTGGTGTATCTTCAGTGGCTGGCAGGAGCAATCGAGAGCCTTCAGGGTTTAGAGGCTTGGAGTCGCATTGCAGTGGCTGCTGGCAGCAGCAGCAGCAGCAGCAGCAAAAAGGAGGAAGAAGGAGCAGGAGGCATCTTCGTTGTTGTTTCGAGGTCTAGTCGAGTCGCAGTTGTGTTGCTGCTGGTACCGGTACGAGTACTGGTGCTTTCGATGTAGTCGCACAGCAAGTTTAAACGCAGTGTCTGCATCCGTGTCAGACCTTGTCGGCGAATTGTTATACTTGTTATTGTCGTCGGTGTTGGTCCTGGTGCCTTTGCTAAAGCTTTTCTTGGTGCTGGTGAGGTGCTATTGCTGTTGCTGCAGTTGTACAGTAGTTACCGCAACAGTTCAGATGCAGTTGTTGTTATTGTTGCTGCTGTGTATATATTTGTGTGTGGGGGGTGCGTCATTATTCGTTTGGTTCTGTGTTTGTTTTGTTTGATTTTGCTTTGTTTTGTGTTTGTTTGTTTGTTTGTTTGTTTGTTTGTTTGTTTGTTTGTTTGTATGGTTGGTTGGTTGGTTGGTTG